GCAGTTTACCAGGATACATGAAGTATGACAAGGGTGGTATAAATTAAATACAAGGCGAATTAGGAAAACCATGGATTGGAACAATGTAGAGGTTAAAAATTCATTACCAAATGACCTATCCATGTATTACAGGAAACTCCTTGAGCCAGTGGGGCCAACAGATGTGTCATGTGACATTTCTATTGGAAAAAGTGAGGGCCGCTGCCATGGTCTGTCTCTGTGCCTTTGAGGCTTAAATCAGAAATTGGGACATTTGAAATTAGGGGGATGCTCACACGCAAAGAAGAAAATGAGACATTGAACAGATTGAATTAACTTTGAACATTTGTGTTACGTGTTAGGCATTCTGCAAGGAGTTTTATACATCTCATTTCCCCTGCCTCACAATAATCTCATGTAGATGGTAGTAATCTCCTTTTACAGAAAAGGAAACAGGCTCAAAGATGTTGGATAACCTGCCTAAGTAATCAAGCCAGTAAATGGCAAAGCCAAGCTTCCAAGCCAGCTGTGACATAGAGTGCAGCCCTTCTGTAGTAGATCCTGGGGGATCAGATCCTTGCTAATCACAGTTCCTGATTGGCCTCAGTACTATTTGTAGGAGGAATTCTTTTTTTTTTTTTTTTTTGTGGGGAGACGAAAGGCCATATAGCAATATGAGAAAATCTCTTATTATATTTAGTTATGGCAGGGTACAGTGGCTCACAGCTGTAATTTCAGCACCTTGGGAGACCAAGGACGAGGATTGCTTGAGCCGGGGAGCTCGAGACCAGCCTGGGCAACACAGTGAGACCCTGTCTCTCCAAAAAATTTTTAAAAATTAGCTGGATGTGATAGCATGTGCCCATCACCCCTGCTACTCAGGAAGCTTGAGGTGTGAAGATTGCTGGAGCCAGGAAGGTCGAAGCTTCTGTGAGCTATGATTGCGCCATTGCACTCCAGCCTGGACAATAGAACGAGATTGTCTAAAAAAAAAAAATTAAGTTTTTTTTTCCCTTTTTTTTTTTTTAGTTCTGTTATTTTTTGGGGGAAGGGGAAGTTTTTTTTTCCTCCCAACACCTCATATTTGTAGGGTAGGATACTTTATATATTTTGTATTCCTCACCATACCTAGCATGTCACACATAATGTCTGGTTTGGCAAATTTTGCAGGGCTGGCATAACAGCAGTGTGTGGGTGTCCTTCTTTGATATGTCTTTCTTGCACACAGCTCCCTGCAGAGGGGTACTGCTGTGGCTGCCACTTCAGTTCTAGCAGATGGATAGGGGATCTTCCATGCTACCCCATTTTAAGGTTGGTCTTCCCACTCTTGTGAAATTTCCCTTGTGATGCATTTCGGATGGAGCTGCAGGAACAGCTCTGTCCGCCTCAGAGAAGATTAACTACTGTGCCATGGCTTGGTTTGGCGCTTGTGACATGTCTGAGTCTCATCTCCTAGTTTTCCAAGGGAGCCACTGTGTTCGATTCCTGGGCTATATTTTTGGCAAATGTTTTGCCTGGATTTCAGAGTTCTGTAATTTCTCCCAACTTTGACCTCATGGGTTTTTTTGTTTGTTTGCTTGCGTTTCTTTTTTAAATCTCAGTGTAGTTTTTACCCTTTTCTGGCCTTGCGAAATTCACACCACTTTAGTACAACAGTCTCCCTTATTTCCAGCTTTGCTTCTTACCCCTCTCCTCCAGTTAGACTCTCCTCCAGTTAGACTTAGCCAGGCAGTGCTGTTGGCCAGACCCCCTGCTGGGCACTTTTGACACTGTGGGCTTCATTGCAGTCATCTGTGTCCCTCCTCTCACATCCCCCAGCCTTCCTCTCTGCCTTCTTTCAAAGCTCAGTCTATCGCTTTGCCACTCAGAGTCTGGTTTCTGGGCCCACAGCATCAGCATCACATGGAAGCCTGCTAGAAATGCAGATTCTCAGGCGGCACCACAGCCCTTCCGAATGGGAATCTGCATCTTAGCCAATTGCTGAGGTGATCTGCATGCCCAGCCAAATTAGAGAAGCACCACTTTAACTCATACTCCTCCTTTGGGTTGTGACCTAATTAAGAGACTAGGATGTTAGAACCCATTCATTCAGTCGAAAGAATCAGCTAAAACATTTTTATATTTTCACATTGTTCATCTTTAGTCTATAGTTTTGTCATTTTTAGGGATAGGGACAAACAGATATGTTTGGGGATAAATGTCTCTTCCTAACCACATGAATGAGGTTAGGGCATTAGGAAAAGCTTAGATAATTTAACTGATAGATTGTTACCAAGGGAGCATTCAAATAACACCCATGATTGTTTTGAAAAGAAATGGAGGGGATAGTTTTGTGGAAAGATTTCTAGTTTTTGGGCTTTTACTTTCTTCTACGTGGAAATATTACTTATCCTGGGGATCAGCGATAGCACAGGTCATATCCCAGGACACAGCGACAGGTGTTTCTCCCTAAGGCAAGTTTCTCCTGTCCTTAAGCATTGATGCTCGTGGAAAAGCTGCTGTGCAGGACAATGGTTGGTGCAGGAGTTGGGGACATGGACCCCCTAGCCAAGAAGTGAAGAGGGACGGCTCAGCTGCATGGAAGAAGAATGTGAGGTTGAGTGATCAAACTGATGCAAAGCCACCCTCAGGCCCCCTGCCCCTTCTTTTACCTGTCCTTATATTACTCCTGTGGTTGTGTTGGTACGGTGGTATCTGTGAGCCCTCATCCCCAACTCATTTAAATTCTGGAACCTTTTAATGTCCAGATGGTGTCTCTAAGACTCAGAGTTTTGAAGAAATATAATTTGCTAAGTTATATCTATAGGTTTTCTAAAGGAGTTACACACACACACACACACACGCTCACTGCAAAGTCAGAGAACCTGATACTCTGGGTGGGAAGTGATACTGGCCATCTAAATGCAGAGGACTAAAAAGTGGTTTTTCTAGACTGACTCAACCTTGCCTTCAATGCAAAAGAATTTCCTTTTGTATGACCATTAGTTGTTTTGTGCATTTTGATAAATGATGTAAAAGTTTGGAGTTACAGCACTAGAAAGGCATTCACTTACATTTAGAGCACAGCTGCATTAAGAGACATTTCTTTGAACACTAGGCATCTGTTTAAACTGGACCCTACCTAATGCTGCAGACCTTCAATGTGGGCCATCCCCCCACTGAGCAGATGCTATTGACTTGAAATAGGAGTGGCCGGGGCAGTGTTCCATTTCTCCTTCAGAAGTGTCTTATGGCATCAGAACCTAATACCGGAAACAGATGGAACCTGGACCTCAGGTTTCAGATGTTATTCAAAGGAAAAGAGTTGCTGAATTGAAAAGTGTCAGATCTAGAAAACCTGTAATCAGTCCAATGGATGAGGGGAATGATGAAGGAAAAACATGGTTATATACTGAAAAGAAAATAGAAAATTATCTTTGGTTAAAAGCACTTCATTTTTATTATTTTTTTATTTTTTTGAGACAGAGTCTTGCTTTGTCACTCAGGCTGGAGTCCAGTGGCACGATCTCAGCTCACTGCAACCTCCACTTCCCAGGTTCGAGTGATTCTCGTGCCTCAGCTTCCTCAGTCACTGGGACTACAGGCGCACATCACCACACTCAGCTAATTTTTTGTAGAGACAGTGTTTCCTCATGTTGGCCAGCCTGGTCTTGAACTCCTGACCTCAGATGATCCATCTGCCTCTGCCTCCCAAAGTGTTGGGATTACAGGTGTGAGCCGCTGCTCCCAGTCAAAAACACTTTAAATAAACATATATATTAAGGAACGTATGTAAGTGTTACATGTTGCAGAATTTTGGCCAAGTTGTTGGATATGTAGGATCTTTTTAGTAGTATGAGGATTAGGCAGTACTGGACATGCAAAGATAACAGCCCAAATTGAGATGTTGTACTTGGGTAACTTTGAGTTAATGCAAAGCTCATTATTATTGAATATATTCATAGGATGCATAAAGTACTCTTCTTTCATCATTAATACATAATAGCAAAAATGAGTTTTCTTTGATCATTTAGGTTATTCTTGTCCTTTTTGGATAGTACCTTGAAAGTGAGTTACACTGGTCTGGTACCTTTGATTGAGAGTTACATTAGACTGAAGCTTTTATGGAGTCATCTGACAATAACTTAAAAGGACAAACTGAAATCAGTATGAAACTGAATATTCCCGAAAAATGTGGTTTATTGAAAGTTTCCATTTGTTTTATTTCCCAGCTTTGTTGTTTTATGTCTTTATATAAAACTTTTATTCTCTATAGCAGTGTTTCCAAGATGTGACCTACAAAGCATTCTTTTCCTGCTTTGTTAATATGGATTAAACTGTGGCAGTTTATCTACTGCAGGAATTCTCAGAGCCTTTGACAGTACTAATATTCCCTGTGATTCTTTTAGAATGAGATGTAGTATCTGATGTTTCCCAAGCTTATTTTACTTCGCCTGCTGCACTCTTCCCTGCCACCTCCTTTTTTTTCACTTAATGGAATATCTACTATGGCAGATAGCTGGGAAATAATACTGTAGCATTTTCAAATGTATTTTCTCATTTACCATCACAGCAGTCCTGAGAAACAGAGACAGTTTTGTTGTCGTTTTTTGGATGAGGGAGGAGCTAAGATCCACCAGAGTTCAGGCTGGCACCAGGATGCAGGTGTCCTAGTAACTTCCCCAGTCTTTTATCTCCCTGTCAAGCCTTCAGTTCAGGTATGAGGCTCTTAGTCCTACATGGCAGGGCTCTGTGCTGGCAGAGTTGGGGGGTCATCTGGGTGATAACAGTGATCTGAAGTTCCTATGTCCAGTGGCTGGCCCACAGGGCTTTGTGGTCTCCTGTAGAGAACTTTCTAATCGGAGTTGATAATGCGGTGAGAGAGTTGGTCCTTATGTACCTTCTTTGAAGTAGTGGCTTAGGCAGCCCCTCAGGTAGGCTTTCGAGTAGGAAAGTTACCCAGGTACTCAACTGTGATTCACTTGTGTTTGCTTGCCACCTTTCACCCCATGGTACTATGTCATGTTTTGCTTTTTTTATAGAAAGAAATTCAAGCCATGAGTCAGTGCAGCCATCCCAACGTAGTGACCTATTACACCTCTTTTGTGGTCAAAGATGAACTTTGGCTGGTCATGAAATTACTAAGCGGAGGTAAGTGGATTTTGTTGTTGTTATTTGTTTGCTTGTTTTCTCTCCTTTTGTTGGAACCAGCATATTGGAGAAGACTTTAGATTGAATCCTTTCTCTCCTGTGTTTGAAAGTTTGTTTGGTTTCTCATTGCCTAGAGGATAACATCCAGATTGCATCGCATTGACCTCAAAGCTTTTCATAATTTCACTTAACTTCCGAGAATATGTGTGTTGTCTTCTCCAGTTATGAAATGCTCGACCTTCTAGGTTGAGAGGCAGCCCCTGGAATGTATTATGTGCTCTCATGCCTTTGTCCCTGACCTGTCCTCTTTCTCAGCCTTGCATCTCTCCTTTCTTTTCCATGTTCTCAGGCCTAAAAGGTCACATCCTCTCCACAGTCACCGCTTATTTTTTTTAAAAAAAGTTAGCCAGTCCTTTCTCCTTGAGTCCTTTCTTTTTAACATTATTCAGGTCCTTAACCAGTTTGCTGAATTATCTCAGTGCCGTTTATTAGAATGTTCTGTGATGATGGAAATGTTCTGAGGTGCTGCTATCTACTTTTTACTAATCCTATGTGACTCTTAAATACTTGACATGTGGCTGGTGTGACTGCGGGACTGAGTATTCCATTTTAATTAACTTACATTTAAATCACCTTGTACGGCTCCAGTATTGGACAGTGCATATTTAGATTGTGAACTTCGTGAAGATTGTCTAATGCACTTTGAATTCATTGAATTTGGCGCCCAGTAGGTGTTCACTAAATGTGGTTTCAGTTAACATGGGGAGAAATGTGTGCTACATACTCACTTGCAGTGTTGATCAGAAGTGGCACTATTCTCATCCTATTGTTGCATTTGGGAAGGGAAAGTCACTTCCTTTCTCTAGCTTCAGATCCCTGCAGTGATGCAAGCCATTGACAATTTAATTTATAAGGTGCTTTCACATCCTGTATTTTATTTCTTTTAATCTTCTAACATCACTATCAGAGAGGGAACGATAATGATAACCATTCCCTTTTTTGAACACTTGCTCTGTGGCTAGATCCTGTCCAAGGCAATTTACTGACCTTACCACATTTAATCTTGACAATATCCCTGAATGGCCTGTGTCACCATCCCTGTTTTTCAGAAATTACACCAAATCTCAAGGGAGTTTAGCAACTTGCCCAAGGTCACACACATAGTAAATGTTGGTGCTGGAATTTGTGACTCTAAAATCGGTTGACTTAAAAATTAGTATGCGGTGCTGCAAGTATTTACACTTTTGTTTTGCACACATGGACACTGAAGCTTAGAAAGCCCAAGTGATTTCCTTGGGAACACCCAGCATACCCACATCTCTGGTATGTTCTCTTTTAAGGGCTTCATTCCCTGTGTATCTTTCTGAGACATGAAGTATGGTTTAGGATCAGAGGAGAACATTTTGCTGTGCCTGGACAACCCAAAACTAGCATAGCAGAGTTTATATGACAGAGCCCATTTTAATCTGCAGATGTCGAAGGAGGTGTCTTAATGTTTTCCTTTTTTTAAAAAGAAACTCTCTTGGATCAAGCAGAGGCCCAGAAATGAGGTGACGAAGGCATTGTAATTGGCTTGGGTCTGCTTGTGTAGGTCTCGGTGGGGAGCCCTGGAGAGCTTAGTTCTGTTCTGTTTTCAGTCTTCCTCAATCTTATTAGTCATTGTTTCCTTGAGTGCCTACTTCAGTTTTTAATTAAAAAGAAAAAAAAAAGGAAAAGAAAAAGGAAGCCTGCCAGAGCTGGACTGCAGTGTTGAGTGCTAGGACTGCCCCTTCATTCAGCAGAGGGACTTGTGCTTTGCCAACAAGATGATCTTAAGCCATTCTCTTTTTGTGGGGTTCTACCAACTCTGACGAAATGAGAAATTCTGGTGACTTGAGATGCTGAATAGTCCCAAGTGCTCTGCTCAAGCTGAAGATTTTACCTTTTGCTTTTATGAAGCTGAGAATCTTCTGTTCTCTAAGGAGGATCTGACAGAAAATTTCTTTGTCTTTTTAAGAGTCCAATTTAACCTCTCTGAGCTTTAGGTAAGAACAGGTTTTAAACAGGTTTCTACAGGTAAGGATGTGGGCAGACGTGGACTCTTACTCATTTTTCTTTCAGCAGGGCAGAAATGCATGCATGCCTGGTATGGTATATCCTTATACAATAAAAGGAAAATGTATTTGCAATTACCATTTTTTAAATGACACAAAAATCTAAGAGTCAACAAATAAACAGAGTGTTTTTTTCCCCCCCTCTGGGGAAAAATATGCATTTGTTTTCTTCTATTTCATTACATTGAATCTCTTAATGAGGGGCAGGCAGCTATATCTGATGGGGAAGCTCAATCCTCTTAGTTAATTATAAAGAGCCTAGAGCCAAATTCAGGTCCTGAGGTAAGCCGTTTGTTAATTCTTCAGAAATGTCAAACCCCCAGGTAATTTTGGCTTTTAAACTGACCCAGGGGTTTGGAATACTAATTAATATGTGTTGAAACATGAATTCACAGTGCCAAGGATACTAATCTGTATATGGTAACAAAGTACTAGGTATTTGTTTGTTTACTGTAAGTGTTAGTGCCTCAAATATATAAGGTAAATGAAATAAAGATCAGCCGGGTGCAGTGGCTTATGCCTATAAGCCCAGCACTTTGGGAGGCTGAGGTGGGCAGATCTCTGAAGCCCAGAAGTTCAAGACCATCATGGGCAACATGGTGAAACCCCATCTCTGCAAAAAATACAAAAATTAGCCAGACGTGGTGGCATGTACTTGTAGTCCCAGCTGCTTGGGAGGCTGAGGTGGGAGGATCACTTGAGCCTGGGAAGTTGAGGCTGCAGTGAGCTGTGATTGCTCCACTGCTCTCCAGCTTACATGACAGAGGCAGACTCTGTCTCAAATGAAAAAAGAAAAAGAAGGAGAGAAAATAAAGATCATGCAGTGTCACAGGAAGGAACCTTCTGGTTATAAGCAGAGGTATAGAAACAACATCCTTCTTTCCCCCTCCCAACTATGATTTAGGTCCTCAGAGAGTGGGGTTTTTTCTCTCAGCAGTTCGCTTCTGCCTTTTCTCCTGACCTCATACTCCTTTCTTTGTCAGTTCAGACTTTTTGCACCCTCTTCGGAGGGTTGCTCTTAGGAATTTTTGTGAGAAATGCTGTAACCAGTATTTCTAGGGAAAAGGAACCAACCATGGAATGGCCATGAACAGCCTTCTGGTTCCTGACCCAGAATCCTTCTCATTAAATTCACACTGAAAGTGCTCTTGCAAACTTGGATTTAGTGTTTTTGGTCATGGGGCTGTCATTCAATTGTTTGTTTGCCTTGGGAATATTTGCATTAAATAAACAAAGCCCATATTTTGATGTTTCCATTACATTTTATACATAATGGAGTCTTGTTCTGAAAAGGTGATGAAGGTGATAATTCTTCTGTTTGTCTACTTAGGTTCAATGTTGGATATCATAAAATACATTGTCAACCGAGGAGAACACAAGAACGGAGTTCTGGAAGAGGCAATAATAGCAACAATTCTTAAAGAGGTTTTGGAAGGCTTAGACTATCTACACAGAAATGGTCAGATTCACAGGTATGACCCCTGCAGAAATGTTTAAATGAGCTGTTCATATCTTCAGCCCTAGTTTGTAAAGAATGTTAAGGAAACACATGTTGCAGGCAGGTATTGACATTAACTTAGGCTAAATAGATGGGAAAAAAATACTTAAGAAAGAAACAAGTGAATACATTTTGATGAATTATATTGGTATCCTTGAGGATTGCTTCAGTGGCTTTCACTGAAATAAGAGTGGAATATAAAAAGGACTACATGGACTCATTTTAAATAATCAGTCTTGGTAACTACTCTTGAATTATACTAATTGAACTAGATAGCACCTCTATCTTTCTAATGCAAGCAAGACTATCCAAACATTGTAATATGTGAATTATTTTTGATGTGGTGGTGAGAGGGAAGGAGGAGGCACACATCTTTTGTTACATAAAATGTTAATTCTTTATATAGTCAAATCATATAGAATAGGAGTGCTTGATGTTTCAAGTGAGTTAGTGCTACTTGGTCTCTTAGAAATTATTGCAAGTAAATAGCCATCTACCCATAATACTAATAATGTAATTCTCCTACCCTGAAATTTATATTTAATTATTTCTACTATATTTTTCTTTTTTTTTTTTTTTGAGACAAAGTCTTGCTGTGTTGCCCAGGCTGGAGTGCAGTGGCATGATCTCGGCTCACTGCAACCTCTGCCTCCCGAGTTCAATTGATTCTCCTGACTCAGCCTCCCGAGTAGCTGGGATTACAGGCACCTGCCACCATGCCTGGCTAATTTTCATATTTTTAGTAGAGATGGAGTTTCACTATGTTGGCCAGGCTGGACTCCCACTCTTGACCTCAGGTGATCTGCCCACCTCGGCCTCCCAAAGTGCTGGGATTACAGGCGTGAGCCACTGTAGCTGGCCTATATTTTTCAATAATTAGAAAAAAATTACTTTAGAAATCAAACTTATAAATTGCAAATTGTCGTTTTTCAAAGTACTAAGATTACACAGGTTTTATATGGTGAAGAAATATACTATATAATAATTAGTATTTATAATCAGTCTCTCACCAGAGGAGAGAAGTTCATTTTTCAGAAAGAGAATTAACTTGGAATTGCACCCCAAATTGAAGTGGAAGTGGAGGAGCTTTACATAGACTGGGCTTTAATACTTGATAGAATGACAGTAGTGTGAGTTTCTGGGCAGTCTCTAACTCTGAAGCATAAAATAGAGAGTCTACTTACTGATGATTTAATTAAATTTGGATAATTATTTCATAGAAAATATTTCTTTCTAAAATCCTAACTCTCCCCCAGGAGTAAACTATAAAATGACAGTTGAATCCTTATACCTTTTTTTTTTTTTTTTTTTTGGAGACCGAGTTTCACTCTTGTTGCCTAGGCTGGAGTGTAGTGGCATGGTCTCGGCTCACTGCAACCTCCGCCTCCCAGGTTCAAGCGATTCTCCTGCCTCAGCCTCCCAAGTAGCTGGGATTACAGGCGCACGCCAACATGATGCCAGGCTAATTTTTGTATTTTTAGTAGAGATGGGGTTCCACCATGTTGGCCAGGCTGGTCTCAAACTCCTGACCTTAGGTGCTCCACCCGCCTTGGCCTCCCAAAGTGCTGGGATTACAGGTGTGAACCACCATGCCCAGCCTATCCTTTTAACTTTTAAAATCTGTGATATAATCTTAATGTTTATGAAATTATTATGTTAAAGAACTACATTGTATGATATGTTTTAAAATCTTCCTGAGTGAATCAATACACTATAAAGTCTGTACCTTACAATTTATTTTCTATTTTTTTTTTTTCTAATAGAGATTTGAAAGCTGGTAATATTCTTCTGGGTGAGGATGGTTCAGTACAAATAGCAGGTAAAACTGATAAATAGAACATTTTTTACTTGATTACAGAAGTGTTACAGTTTCAAGGCATGTCGAATCGTTCCTGAGAAATGAATAAATGCATGTAATCTCTTTTAAGAATGATATTTACAGAATGTTTGGGTCCGAAGGATAACATGTTTTCCTTATTGTTTTGATAAGTCATTAGATCATCCTGTGAAAAATACCAGTTTAGTACATAGCTTTTTGATAAAGAACAATTTTACTTTCAATTTTACTATGTTTTCTGCCTTTCACATTTTATAATGGTAATACTCATAAAACTTCAAGAAATGCACTTGTAAAAACGTTTTTCGATAGGTTTGAAAATTTAAAACATCATACACATCAATTACAAACTAATTTATTTCTTAAGAGGTATCTGAAAGAATTGTGAATATTAAAAATCTGGGCCATGTTTTGTTCTTAACTCTGACCCAACATGGCTATTCCTGACAAAGCTGGTAGGCTGGGGATGCAATGAATGAATGTTGCATGAACACGCAATATCAGGTGAGCACCTTCCGTGTTCAAAGCCTCTATTTTGTTATTGGCCCTAGAGTAACCTTAAAGGCCTGAGATAAGATGTAGCCACGTCCATATTAACTCTTGCTTTACCCATGTTGTTGAAAGTCTGTCTCAGCAATCCTTTTAGCTTTCATGGTTTCTTTAGGGGGTGTTCTTGGCATTTTTTGGCCAGACAGTCCTTCCCTATACTGGACTGACCCTGTCATTGCAGAGAAGAGTAAGATGAGCCCACTTGTACCCATCACCTGGTTTCAATAATTCTCAATCTTTGGCAATTCTTGATTCATCTGCTGCTCCGCCCCCCACAACCCCCCGACTCTGGTGCCTCTCCTCATCGTGGATGCTGGATTTTGTTCTTGAGCCATCTGAGTTAGTGCTTTGTATGTGCATATCTTGTCCTCACGAGTGGACTTTATCCCACAGGCTAGGGACAGTTTGAAAAAGTACTTCAGTTAAACAAGTAACAGCTGAAAAACATCTGTGGGCAAAAATTTCAAACTATCCAGTCCCCAAAATTTCAAACTCTCCAAACTAACTAGTTGTTCAGAGTGCAGGCTCTGGTGTCAGCTGACTTGGTCAAAATTCTGAGGCCACCACTTAGTAGCTCTGCCACCTTGGGCAAGTTACCAAACCTTCTTAAGACTCAGTTTCCGTAAAGAGGGGTAAAAATATAAACTACTTCATCTTCTTTGGTGAAATCAAGGTCCAGTGATCTCAACAGTGGCCGACACTTAATAGGCATGCAGCAAATATCAATAACTGCTGTTTTACCATGGCTGCTGTTGCTACTACTGTTGCTACTGTTACTACTGTTACTTCTGTTACTATGACTAAGAGGATCACACTGATACTCCCTTGCACTGACTGGAGATCATGTGAACCTGGAATTGTCCTGCCAGAGCTTCAGCTCTGAGGAGAGTTTATGACTTATCAAAAGGTGATACTTATTAATTATGGAATTTGGAAGCTAACTTGCCATTAATCTTGCTCTAAGCTGATAAGGAAGTACAACTAATTTTCTGTTTTATGATGAAATGATGATTTCTCACAAAAAGGGTCAAGATAGTGAACTGCCTTTGAAATGTGAAGGCTGGTCAACCCCTGCCTTATTCTGTTACTTGGTCCTCTGCCAGTCATCTCATCCCATTATTCTTGTCAGATTAATGATCTGAGCCTCCTCCTGAGCCTTCTGGAACACACTGTCCTTTTCTTTTTCCCAGTAGGAATCCCCGAGGTAAGATCTCCTGACTTTTTCCCTCCGTCACAGGCCTTTGGGTTTTTCCTCACTGCCGAGGTGTCTGTTGTGACCCAGTACGTGCCTGCACTGCGGGGGCTGCTGAGTTCAGAAGGGCTCAGGCAGGAAGCCCCTGCGCGGGGTGGTTGTGGGAATTAAGTGAATTGAAGTGTAGAGAGGGCTATGCCTTTTCTGTGCCTGGCATGTGCTGAGGACTTTGTGTTCCAGTCATCCGGGGCATCCTTGGTATCTTTTTGAGTATGCAACTTCATGCTTGTGTAATAACAGAAATTGGAATGGCCATTTTCCAGATGTATGGGGGCTGCTTGACAGGCACCTAAATGTACAGCTTTGGCCTCTCTGGAACTATTGCTTTCTGGAATTCCCATTTAATTTCCCCCATATTCTCTGACCTGATCATAACATCGAACTAACACAGTATTTAAAGTTTGAATTTTTAAAGTGTTAACTGTAATATAAGGTTATTGCCTTAAAGCATTTTTAATGTGTCCTTGGAAAGGTAGATGTTACTACTGTCCTCATTTTATAGGGGATTGACTTTCTTGGTCAGGCACTTGGTCACTGCCTGAACAAAAACGAGGACCAGGAGTCTCTGGATCTTTTGCTGGCATCCTTGTCGGTGGGTGAGGTAGAGGAGGTGGGGGGAAGAGTAGAACGTGGAGACTCAGCAATGGCAGGAGTGGGATAGTCCCTTTTTGTTGCTACTTGGACAAATAATACATTGCTTTTATCCAGACTGTTTTTGCTCTTTTTCCTTGTAATTTATGCCTCTGAGGGGAAAGCAAGGTTTGAGGGAGGGGAGGTGGGGCACCTGTAGTTTGAAATAAAAGTTAAGAAGGGGAGAAGTTAAGTTTGTATTTATTTCTTTGAGTATAATATACATTGCCCACCTTGAGAGTATTATTGTGTGAATTGTTTTTCAGAAAGGGCATTTTTGCTATCCTAATAGAAAACATAATGATTTTTGTTTTTTTAGGGGAAACACTGACTTTTACATATGTATAAATTCCCCTTTTCAGAACTTTTTATCAGAAAACAGATTAAAGGGCCTGATTTAGACCATGAGAAAACCTCACTTTATTATGCAGCTAGAAGTGTGGTGGATAGGATAATATGCCTGGTTCTGTTTAACACAGTCCAAATTCTCTGGGAAGAATGTACCTTTCTATTGAACATGGGTATAAAATCAGGAACTAATGTGTCTTGAGTGCTTCCTGTGTGTAAGGCCAGGTGTTAGGTTCTAAATGCTTTGAGTCTCGTTCAGTCCTTAGCACAACTCCATGGGGAAGGTACTATTGCATCCATTTTACTAGGAGAAACTAAGTTACAGTGGGGAAGTCAGTTGTCCAGGCCACACCTAGAATAAGCGGCGTATCCACGCTTTGGGTTTGGGCAGTCTGACTCTAGAAACTGCCAACTCACATCAGTGGGATTTCCAGGAGGAGGACCTTAAATCTGGATTTAAATGACCTCACTTTGAGATGGAATATACCACAGCAGTCACCATCTCTTCCATGTCTCTGCATAAGTCGATTCCCCTTTGGACCAGGGAACATATTCAGCACCTTCTTCCTCCTTGCTCCTTCAGGTTGAAACACAGGGGTGTCCCTGGTAAGGTTTCAGTGGATAGGAGAAGCAACCATCTAAGCATCATTTGGTATAGAATTAAGCTCAGTAGTGACACCACACTTTTCAGACTGGAAAACTTCAGGTTTGATATAGTGAACTAGAACCTGAGGACTGCTTACTCAGGGTTTAAGAGAAAATGCTTTCCTTCTTACTGTACCTTCTATGCTTAGAGGTCTGGTGTGTGTAACTTCCTGATAATCAACTTGGATGCCTTGGACAATGTAATAGGTTTTGCTGCGCTCACTGTGTGATAGAAGGGGGAGTGGCTACTTGAAAGTCATGTTCTTCCCACGGCATAGCATTTTATTTTCCAGTTTGATGCCCTGTCATATTGTCGAGAATAGCTTAGTGCTTTGGCAAATGACTAAGCCTGTTTGTCCAGAATTAATGAGAGTCACTATTTTGAGCAAACAGAAATTCATATGAAACGGATCACTTTGGGGTGGTTTCTGCAAATCTATTTAAGATTTAAAAAAAAAAAAAAGTGGCTCCTCTTAATGTTGTATAAAAATGTTGATTTCAGCACATTTGATATATAAAGAGCTTTGTAGACACTTACTACTACATTATGTAAGCTAGATCTCATGCTCATTTTCACTTACTTTTGCCTTTGAGGTGTGTGTGCTATGGTTTGAATTTTGTGTGCCCTCCAGATGCATATGTTGAATCCCGATCACCAATGTGATGGTGTTAGGAGGTGGGACCTTTGGGAGGTGATAAGATCACGAGGGTTAAACCCTCATGAGTGGGACCAGTGCCTTTATAAAGAGGCCCCAGAGAGCTGCCGTGCCCTTCTACCATGTGAGGACACAAAGAGAAGGCACCATCTATAAACAAGAAGTTGGGTCCTTACCAGATAGTGAATCTGCTGGTGCCATGATCTTGGACTTCCCAGCCGGAAGAACTGTGGTAAATAAGATTTTGTTATTTTTAAGTCACCCAGTCTAAGGTATTTTGTTACAGTAGGCCCAATACACAAAGACAGTGCTTATGTGTGTGAATGTGAATTTCCCTTCCCTGATTTTACGTAACAGAAATAAAAATCGCTACTGAGCAAAAGCAACCTGGAACTCTAGAAAGTTACCATCAAACTGCCTCAAGTATGCGTATCTATTCAAATCAAGCTTATGCCCTGGGTTTTTCACTGTCCAAAGTACATTGGTAGAACTTTGGGTAGCATCTCTTATTTACTGGGAGGGAGATTATATCCTTATCAGCCTTGAATGCATCTTCAGTGTAAGTCTGCATCTTGAACACTGAAAACCCCATGACTAAAAGTGCCGGGAAAACATGCAACGAAACTTAACTTGCTTCTGTCACTTCGACGTTATCCATAAGGAGCCAGAGGAAGGTGTGCAAGGTGGTTGAGTTTCTACACCCATAGCTGCTAGGTTCTTTCATTTTCCTTCTGTGCTCTTTGGCCCTCATAAAGTGCACTTTGATGCAGAGGGTGGGGGTTGAAGAGTTATTTTTTTGTGTTTTAGGGATGAGAGGTTGCTGCTTTGAGCAAGGTAATATGGGCATCCGAGCAGCCCTGGAGTCAGCTTCTGATTAGTATGGGAAAGCTCCGAAAGTCCCC